TCTCTTGAACAGGGTTTATGGGCTATCCTTTTCTATATAAATGCAGTTTCTCAATTCCTTATTTTATAAGACTAGCAGACTTCGAACAGCTTTATTCAGTCGTACATATGTATCTTAGTTCCCTTAACGTGAATTAAAAATTATCACAGATCACAATAGCAAGTTAAAATAAGATTGAAGACAATTTCATCTCATAAAAAATGAGTCGGTCGTTAGATGTCACTCATATAAAAGAAGTTCAAAGATCGAAATCAGTTCAATTAGTTTGATATTAAGCTACCATGCGCTGAATCTCAACTGTAGAATTTCAGCCTTTGTAGATTTCAGCAAAGATAGAACCATTACAGACGTTAGACTGACCAATCTGTCATTATTCTGTTTCAACTAGTAGACCAACAGTTACTTTATGCAGTACACTTCGATAAATTTTCTTATCTTTCATATAACCATGACATTAGATAATTTATATTTGTTATAGATGTATGATATTATTGTGATGAAGACATTAACAGTTTAAAATTTTTTTCATAAGCAGAAAGGAATTTTTCAAGCTATGGTGTGAAGTATTTTATCCTTTTAAAAATGCTATTTTTTGCCAATGCTAATATTTAATGTTACCGATATTTTCTAGATAATATTATTCATGTAATTGTTGATGTAAGTAAAAGTTTATCTAGACAAATTTTTCGAAACATTATCTTAAAATTAACAAAATAGTTGACTCATATTCAAGAAATTATAGTGTAAAATATTTTCTTCATCTAATAAGTCTTTAATTCATCCACTATTCACTATGAAATATTTCATAATTAATGGATCATCACAGACAACATCTATTAAGAGTACTTTTGGTTTCATTTTATTCGCGTTGGCTTTTATATTAGGCTTTCTTCTTGGCTCAAGTTTTAATGGAACAAAAAGTAAAATACGTCTTCTATTTTCGTCAGATATAAAATTAAATCAAAGATCAGCAACAAATAATCAGAAATCGATAAAATCATTTAATTATGGAAATAATTTTACACATCTTTGGTCAATGCGTTTAGCTGATGAAAATTATTTTCGTCTCGCCCAACTTCTACCATGTCGTATTGTTGAATATTCTGGCGGACCAAAATTAGATAAACTTGATTCATGTGACCATACATCAAAAAATGAATTCTCAATACAGAATACAATAGAAGCCCAAAATTGGTTTTATGAACATCAACATCCAATAAATTGTACCAATAAACGTATTGCTATTATTCAGAATATTGCTTGGTCCGGTTTTGGATCAACTGTTCATCAAATTGCGTGGGCATTTGGTATGGCAATAGCGGATAATAGAATTGCTGTATATCAAACTCCAGGAAATTGGGTAAAATAGATTGATATCATTTAAATAAAACCTAGGCAATATCTTAGTGAGTGTACTAAGTTCTGAGCTTATTTGACATCAGTATTTCACGAAAACATTTTGGTGCTTTATGGCTTTTTTAATACTTGACTCAAAAATATGTCTGCATGTTCAATCTACTAGATTGTTGAAAAATTCTTCCTGAAATTCTTTAAAAAATAGGCAGGCACCTAATAAGTACCTATGCATTGAGACAATTCTCAACAGTGTACCTGAAAAGACATCCTGCTAACAACTGACGTAGTAGATGAGTACCTTAAATTTAATACATCTACCTCCAGTAGTTTATTCGTAGAATTGTATTGATCATGAGTTTTGTTTTTTGAGAGTGGTCACAACTTTAAACTTTTTCTTTTCTTGTAAATAAGATATTCTAATCAAAATTTAATCAAGTTGTAAAGGATGTTCCATAATAACTGATGATAAATTGTTTTTGATATTATTTACACTTTTTGTTAATCTAGAGAGCTGAAATTTTTATTACTTGTACATCTAATCATGATCTTCCATTTCTGAAAGTTTCAGCTCTCTAGCCAAAGCTAGTGGTGAAATGCATCGAGAAGATTGAAATACATAAATTTTCGTACTGAATATTACGGGGTGGCTCCGTGGGTAGTCAACCAAAAAATCACAAAGTACTCAGAAAATTTTCTTTCGCATTCCACTTTGTAGAGCTTTTTTCGCTGATCATTTTGGTAAAAAACTTTTCGAATTTCACTGAGAAATGACGATATTATAGTCAAAAATATTTATCGTAAAAACAGAAGATGTCAGATTTTTTTGATAAGAATATCGCATACAATGTTTAATCGAGGTTTATCCATCCTATTCACTTGTATCTAAGAAACCGACTATAGAGTTTTGTAGAGCACAGTTTTCTCTACAAAGTCTACTGTGTCACATTTTCCCAGAATATAGCCATTTTGAGATATGTGAGAATCGACCTTTACTTACATTTTATAGTGTTTAGTATTTTGTCTATAACATCATTACTTCTCAATAAAATTCAAAATTTTTTTCACCAAAATGATGAGCGAAAAACGTTCTACAAAGTTGAATACGAAAGAAAATTTTCTGAATACTTTGTGATT